AAAGAACAACCACTGTAGTCATTCCAGAAGCTGCCATTTTTTGTTTAATGGGCTCTGCTGCTGGCTGCAGGGAATCTTCAGCCTCTTGGCCTAGCAGATTCACATGTTCACTGTCTTGCCCTCTAGTCCATGGCCTCAGCATTCATCCCACCTAGACATGTCCCTAGTGTACTGGAAAGTGGAGAAAGCAAACAGAACATTGAATCTTGCACTGAGTGAGAAGAATATAGGGACTCAGATGTTCTTCCAGCTATTTTTTAAGATCACTTTCACACCCTGTCTAGCAGAGTGGAACATCAAAAATCACAGAAAATGGTTTCAAGTATCTTATTCCACCAAATCTCATGTATCCTTTAGGCAGTTAAGCATAGACTTAAAAATCTTGTTTCTGTGATGTTCCATAGACTTACATCTCACTACCGAGGTGGGGCTGCTGACCATCATTCACTCTCTACTCCCTGAGTTCCTTACTGTGTATATATCTCAGCTGTTCTTTGTCAGACCCTTCCTCTTTCCTTGACCACATCTTTCTTCTCACCTTGACCACTTCGTTTCTTTTTTTTTTTTTTGAATGGCAGGCAGAAGAGCAACTAATTTCAAATCTGTTCTCATAGGCTTTGATGTTACTACAGACATGTCAGTACCAATATTGAGAGAAGGAAAATAAAAGGTGTTTCTATAGTAAGTCATAGTTTACATTTCTGTTGCTTTGTTTACACACCATTAAGTGCTCACTCCACAGTACAGTAGGGCAAGCAAGAGAAAATACTCTAAACAAAGCTCATCCATAAGCCTTGCAAATGACTACTTATCAATTCTGAGCTGGGAGACTCAGGGAGTAAGGACAAGTAGCTATGGATTTTAGATATGAACCCGTAATGCATTAAGCAAATTTTGCATCTGAGCTCTCCTCTTCTTTCATTTTTATGTGTCAGCCATTGCTACAGCAGCCATCTCTTCACACACATGACCTATGTTCAGCTGAAATGCATTGCAATCACTTTCAGTCCTGAGCTTTCTTTGCCACCATTCTACCTTTAGGATCAAACATGGGCAAGTTTAAGGCAGTAGGAAACTAGTCAAAGATTAAATATTCTTTTCTATCTCTTAAGTAAGAGAATCTGAGGAATGTTTTAGAAGACTTTTCAGGGGGCTCCAAGGTGGTTGAGCCTTAGTTGCCCACATTGCTGATGTGCTTAGAGTAGAACCTTTGGATTGACTTCTTTTTCTCTTCTACCTAACTTGTTCTGTTCTCTCTGAGTGCTACTTCTTGGCATTGATTTCCCAAAATAAACAACCTGCATACAAGATTTGTCCTAGGTGTTGTTTTTGATTCAGTCCTCACTTAGATCATGGAATCTTTGTAGTTAGGGCTGAAGAGTGTGGAATTGTTACTACCACAATGACTACTTTATTAGAGTTCATGTGTTATCTGGAACAAACATTAGACAAAGAGGCAGAAGACTATTCTGAATTGTTATTTGGCTTCCTGTGTGTCATTTAACCCTCATACCCAGTGATAGTGATTTTGGTAAATCTGTAGGAATCCCTTGGCTGGCTAGAGGATGATAGTTCATAAATGTAAAGGCACTGAGAGGGCATGGAGGGTATGTAGTAGGAATTTGGGAAGGATTTCAGCTATTTCAAAAAGAAAAGAGAAACGAGAAAGCATCCTATTCTTATTCATAATGGTGATTAAAATGTAGAAGCAAAATTATCAGGTCAGGTAAGGTAGCGGGGGGGGGGGTTGTGGAAAATCCTCTATCATTAGGTGAGAATGTGTTTAAATTGCATCATTCTAATCTAAATAACTGATAGGGTGGAAGCATCCCAATTTAGAGGGAAAGGGAATAAGGAGGCTGGGAACCAGGTGAAATCTTACAAGCTTGGGCTGTTTTTGCATCATAATTACTTGTTTTATTGTATAGCTCAGGGTAATTCTGTGACTTTGGCGTCTCTGCGGTTAGCTATCTCAGTGACTTAGGGCATGGGCAGTTGGTGTACTTTCAGCTATAGTAAAGTACTGATGTTGCAGACCTGATTATATACCCTCTCTTTGCCGATACCCTCAGGGAACACTTAATGAATGATGCTTACCTCAAGGAGAAGAATAATTAACAATAGCTATATTATTCCTATTAATTTATAGTTACTGGTTGGTATAATTAATGCTATTTATGAAAATCACCATAATTATAACCTTATACGATTTACAAAGTATTTTCCCATCCATTTTCTTATCTGAATCTTGGAACAGCACTCTAGTGTAGGTGTAGGGGAGATGATGTTCTCTTCATTTTACAGATGAAGAAACTATGGCCCAGGGAAGAATTTAGTGAGTTTGCATTTCATCATCATTGCCAGAAATACTGTGCTGTCCATGAGTATTAAATTCATATTGATGGTCATATTTTATGTCTACACACAAGAAAATCAAGTTCACATTATTCTCAGTTGCCTTCCACAACAATAGTGTCATGCTTTTTCACATGAGGCCAAGTCTCATTCCTCAAAGTAATCACATGCATTTTACATGTTGCAAGGAACTTTCCCCTTCTAGCTTCAATTTATTGTATTAGTGCCCTTTGGGATGAAAGTGAAATCTCCTATTATGGAATGATTACCACCTAACATTCAATAGTATGACAGAGACCCACAGCCTAACAGTTTAGTCACACTGGAAATTTGGAGTCAGAGAAATACAAATAGTGTTCCATTTTAGGCTGATGCAAGGAAATTGAGGAAAACACTTCAGTTTCACCAACACAGTCCTGAAGTTTGTGCTACCTAACCTAATAGATGTGTGGACATTCGTAGGGAACCCTTTGGGCTTCCATGTTAAAACCATTTATGAAAGCACTCACTTATTCTAGTTGTACCTTGAGCTTCTTTTACTCAGAGGATGTTGATAAGAAAAAGATTGCTGTCTGAGTCTGTGGCAAAGCCATTCTGTGTTATTTTATTCACACACACACATACATACACACACACACACACACACACACACACACACACACACACACACGCCTAGGGAAGGCCTGAGAGTATCAGGTCCTTATTTAGATCAGGCCTTGTGCAAGCTTCTGGGGAATCCATGAGGAGCAGAACAGACAAGGTCTTTGCTCTCACAAAATTTATGTTATCCAAGGGTGGAGACCAGACATACTCAGACAGATTCTCATGCAATATAATACTTAGGTGGTAATGCACATCAATGGGATGGTAGATACAACAGGATGAGGGCATAGCATGGCAGAGAGGGTCCACAACAATATATCTAGAGTGAGAAAATCAGGTGAAAGCTGCTGTACTTAAGGTGATAAAAGTATCCATGTTTTTTAAAAAAGCTTTCAAACAAGGATACCAAATTGCCTAGAGAGGCCAAATAGCAATCTAGATTTGGCTCCAAGTGGACTGGTCCTCAATTTCAGAGATGATGTCTGATGTTATCAATGTATCAAACATAGGTAATGTCCAGGAAGTATTATCTCACGCTGACTGATTTCACAAGAGATTAACCAATGTGCCAGATTCCATTAAGATGCTTTAACCCAGAGATTTAAGTAAGTTTCAAGAGTCCAAGAAGGTGGCTGAGTAAGTAAAATACTTGGAAAAAAGAGAACTGGTGATCTCAACAGGCAATGCTCATGAATGCATCATACCTGATGCCCCATATTCACACCAAGCACAAATTTACTTCAGAGTTTGTGAGACTTAATACTAGCTTATGGCAATAATATACTAATGATATTTTTGTTATTACTACTGGTGTTTATCTTGTTAGAGTAAGATAAATGTTTGCAGACACTAGACACTATTCTATAGCTGTCTTCCTGAGACAAATTCAGTGGATTTGATTATCGAATAGTAATTATCCATTATTTCATTCCAGCTGGGACTTGGTTTCTCGTTGGGGTCTTAAGAGACTTTTGAATAGCACATAGATAATTAATTATGGCATCATCAGTGTAGGGATTATTTTTACCTTACCCTGTTACCTCATTTTATATGTATCCCTATTTGGACTTTAGGCTTGTTTTTCCCAAACATTCTAACAATTCCTAGAAATGCCCACTGGCAATATATTAATTCCAAGTTTAGAAAATAGAGGTTATTGAAATATGAAATCCAAAGGTCCCTAACTTTATCATCAGCATTTACTGTGCCTGTTTCCTCAGTAGCCCATGGCCAGAGCCCTGACTGGTCTCTTTTTGGTTGATAGTTTACAGTATTGCTTGGGCATGACATTTGTCTCTGGCGTGTACATACCATTGACTTCAGATTTTCAGACTTTCATGACTTCAAATGCCAATTTATTTTTATTCTACAATCCTAATTTCCCTTTCTTGATTGTTCTTGCTCCAATAAAATATCATCACTTCATGCAGTGGCTTCTAAATGCAAAGGGCCTGTGATATCTTCCCCAGTTCTCGCCATCAGGCTAAGTGCAGGAATGAGGACATTTATTTCTTTTATTGTAAGTTCATCAACTGCTTAAATTAATATATGACCTAAGAAAAAGCACTTCATATTTTTTATCTGTCAAATGATTGAATTTTAATTAAAACTTAAATTATCTCCAGGAAATCATGGAATAGACCACACTATTACATGATAAAGTGGAACTCTCAATGCTATTAGTGGAAATTGTTTTTAATGTGTGTGTGTGTGTGTGTATGTATGTGTGTATGTATGTCCGTGCATGCACACTTGTGGATGCATTCTAGTACTGGACATGTAATCAAGGCCTGGTTACTGCCTCTTAGCTTTTTAACTCAAGTCTGGTGCTCTACCACTTGATCCATGAATGCACTTTGGGCCATTTTGGGCTTTTTGGTGGTTAATTGGAGATATGAGTCGCAGGGACTTTTTTTTTTACCTTGGCTAGCCTCCAACTGTTAGCCTAAGATCTTCCCTTCTGAGCAGCTAGGATTGCAGGCTTGCATTATCCACTCCCCTACCCCACCTCCCTGGAAATCTAATCTGTATTGTTTTTGCAGGGAAATCCAGGAGGCAAGACCCTGGAGGAGAGACGCTCTAGTTTGGATGCTGAGATTGACTCCTTGACCAGTATCTTAGCTGACCTGGAATGCAGCTCCCCCTACAAACCTCGCCCCCAACAGGTTAGTGCTACACATTCTGTCCAGGTGGTCAGCCACAAATGGCCACAACAGATGCTGCACTCCACTGGAATGATCAAGCTGCTTCTCAGAGCTCTTTCACTCCTTGATCTTGATCTTAGAGTCAGTGGTCTAAACTCTTTTTCCTTAGTTTCAGCCAGTATGCTCTATTTAACTGGTAAAAACTTCTGATATCAATTTTTATCAGTATTTTCCTTAATGATATAATATTGTTATCCACACACACACACACACACACACACACACACACACACACACACACACACTGGTATTAAAAGCTTAGTTCTTTTTGGATATTTAGTTACATAATATGCACCCCACAAATATGACTTAGCATAATTATATCTTTTGTGTTGTGTATTAAGTGGTTTTCATCTTGTTGATGTCATTTTATGTATATATTTGTATATATCTGTTTAATTTTTATCATCTTTGAGTAGCTGTACAAAGGGGTTTTAATTCAACACATCAATTTATGAGTAAAATATATCTTGATCAATGTTGCTATGAGTAATTTTAAAAGGCAGTTAGTGATGTATTTTTTTCTTTAAAGCTATTTCCCTTTCTGAGACTCCTTTAACAGTGGTATTCCTACATTGAAGAGAATGACTACATTTAGTGTTAGTTTGTTTTTTTATGAACACTGTGAATCATTTACCCTTGCACCAGAAGTTCATATGTGGCAATTTCTTCCCAAATTCAACAGAATTAAGTGACAGCAATTATTCTGGTTTCTTTCTAAGTGCAAATGGTGCAAGTTTAACAGTTGTCTTCTCAATGTTTTGGTTTACTTGGGAGCTTAGCAAATAGCATGTCAGTAGCCGATAGTCCACTACAAGTCATTATCCCTTATCTTTCTGGCAAATCTGTTTCAGTTTCTGCATCCTTAGGAGACAGCCATCAGAGCTTTAGATGCAAATGACTGGACATGTACTTTCATCATTGTTTTAAGTGATGTCTGCTTGACTAGGTGACATTGCACTTGTTGCTCAGAATACTACTCAAGTTTTTGAGCAGCTGCTGCTTTATTAACAGTAGTGCCTTTTATAAATTAAATAGCAGTGTTGCTTCTCTGTTTTCAGTCATTCCACTCCACTACTAAGCTGTACATGGGTTGTAGTATTTTCCGGTTTAGACATACCTTTGTTTCCTGTACGATACATATATGGGATAGGCTGCTTTGCTATGTACCTTGTAAAAAATACTAGAGATTAGTTCTCCCTTAGCTATCTTTCTGCTCTTGGTTAAACAGTAAAAATGTACTTTGTTCCAGTATACATGCTCTGAGTTGCTAATATGTAGCAGGCATAGAGTTTTTGCAGAGAACTGAAAGATGACTGACAAGATACTTACAGGACTCGGGATCGTCTTCCAATATCATCCAGGGTGTAAAATCTAATCTATGGCTGATTGGGCCAAAGCATAAGGAATATGTATAATATATTCTTCACAGTCGGAGAATCAAAAAATTCTTTTTTTATTGTCAATTGAAAAATTCTTGTGAGAAGACTTATAAACGCAATGAGAAGGGTGGATGGAATTGTCACAAAAATGGGGAGTGGTACCAGGTGCCAGTGGCTCACTTCTGTAATTCTAGCTACTCAGGAGGCTGAGATCTGAGTAACTCAGTTCAAAGCCAGCTGGGCAGGAAAAGTCCATGAGACTCTTATCTCCAATTAACCACCAGAAAACCAGAAGTGGTGCTGGGCTCAAGTGGTACAGTGTTAGCCTTGAGCTGAATTGCTGAGGGAAAGCACCCAGGCCCAAAATTCAAAAGCACCCAGGTCCGACAAAAAAAAATAAAAATAAAAATAATAGAGATTCAGGAAAAGCCTGGGACTTGGGTAGAACAGTGGATGGTTCAGAGAACTACAAGAGAACTAGAAGCATCTGAAGACACAAAGGAAAATGATCAAGGAGTGACTATGGGAATGGATGGTTTCCTACTAACAAATGTGGACAAGTTTGGATGACAGTCTCTCTTTTGTAGGTAATGGAGAGTTTTTGAACATTCTCAAGGAGAGGAAAGTTCAAATTCATTCTGCATAGAAACTTAAGAAACAAAGCCTATTTTTCAAAGATGCAGGATTTGCTCAAGTTCAAGAACTACTCTTCAAGTAGAATTCTTTCTTCACTATCTGATGTCTGTCAGTTTTATAATTCCTTCCAATCAAACACCTTTAGATTAATTTGTTAGGACAGCAAGGCCCCTGACTCTGCCCTGGGACTAAGACATATATTAAGACATAGAACTTGCTGTATAGTCACAATCCTGCTAAGATTACATGTGTGTTTCACTAAACCCGGACTTTTCCTATTTTATTTATTTATTTTTCTTTCATAAAGGCTTACTACCTAATATATATGGCAGAAGATAATGCTGTAAGGTTTTCACTTAATGTAGCCTTCATTTTTTAAGGCTATGTCTGCACATGCCTCTCCTAACTCACTCTGTTTAATGGGTTTATTCAACATCAACGTTATTGTTGAGTGTTCTTCCTGTGTTCGTGGACTCATCATCACTGGTACTTGCATAGCAGTAAGATGTGCTGCTATGATGCACTTCTACATATATTCACATTTGAGCAGCCTAGAGATATCACAACCCTAAAAGTAAAATGTGTGCTTTTTATTTTTCATGGACTGGAATCTTAAGGCTTGTCTTTGACCACGAGACTGTTATGTCAGTTTGACTGGACTTTGAATTCAGATGTTTACTTTTTTTTCTTTTTTTTTTTGGGCTGGGGGTGGGGGGAGTCTGGTTGTGGGGCCTGAACTCTGAGCCTGGTCGCTGTCCCTCAGCTCTTCTGCTCAAGGCTAGAGCTCTACCATTGAGCCACAGGGCCACTTCCGGCTTTTTTCTTTTTTCTTATGTGATGCTGAGGAATCGAACCTAGGGCCTCATGCATGCAAGGCAAGCGCTCTACCACTGAGCCACCTTCCTAGCCCCTCAGATGTTTTCTTTGTTTCAGTGCTGAAACCAGATTAGGGATGCCAATCTGATTTACTTTTCTAATGTTTTACCATGGACATTTGTCATATGAATGACAATGTTCCATTACTACAAAAGAGAAAACATTCCAAAGGTATAAAAAATAATTATGATCACCCTGGGGTAAAATAAATTCATCATTATAGTTAAATCTATTTCTAATGTGCTCGTTTTAGTCAGAATAAAAAGGACGATCCATTCTATTCCTTTAAATTATCCTAGTTTAGGAAAGCAAGAGTTAATTAGTAGATACAGCTCACCCTTCTGAATTATCCTCACTCTAGTGGAACTGAATTAGATGCGTTAGTGTTTATTGGTTAATATAATTATATGCTGTGAGAACAATAATCACATACCAAATATTAAAAATATGTGCCAAGAAGGTGATGCATGCAGTAAACTATGTTGTGTTGTAATTAAAATGTACTTGAAAAATCCTAGAAATGTAGACTACTAATGCTCAACTTTGATGTTTCCAGTTTTGTGCAAAGCAAATTTCAATTTCAAAACCTGGTGATTCACTTGATTACCTAAAGTAGGCTAGGAGGTCTATGATTTCTCATTAGTCAAGCATATGTCCTGTGTTTCCCCAGTTGGCCTATGAATCACCTTTGTAAGGTTGCTTTAACTCATGGATGTGGGGAAAAATAATATATATGCGTAACATTTGTACCAGAGAGGTTCCAGGGAGCATAACAAATCTGAAAAATGTCTGAACTTGTGAAAATAGACTGTTGAAGTATTCCCCTGCTTTGTATGTGTTGTTGAGTGTGTGGGTGTGGGGGAGGGGGGCGGGGGGATGTGCATGCACAAATACAGAAGATTTAATTCCACTTGAAGACCTCACTGAGCTTTCTTTACTCACAGCTGGCACTCTAACACTTGAGCCACACCTCTAGTGCATTATTTTGCTGGTTGATTGAAGACAGAATCTGGCAGACTTTTCTGCTTGGGTTGACCTTGAACTACAATCCTCTATGTCTTAGACTCCTGAGAATTAGAGGCATGAGCCATAGAAAACTAGCTTGCCTGCTTTTTTTCAAAGAAATGTCTTCCAGTCTCTAATTTCCCAGTACTATTTCTGACCTCATATTAATTCACATTTTTATTTGGGCCATATGACTTATTTCCCCAGAGTTTATTTATTTATTTATTTTTATTCATTCAGCTAACATATACTGAGATTCTACTCTGGAGTAGGTCGGAAATACAGAGGTTAGTTTTAAAATATCCTTATCCTGGAGTAATTCCTAATCTTATAATGAGAGATGAACAAAATCATCAGAATTACACAGAAGAAGGTTATACGTGTTCAAATGGTTCACAGAATAAAAGAAATAACAGCAGAAGTTTCAACATTATGTTTAGTTTCCTCCTGTGTCAGGGAGCACTTCATAGAGCAGATCAAAGCATTTAGATTCACTTTGCTGTATGTGTTTGCAATAGATGTTGGATTCAAGATAGGAGATAACAGGGATGAGGAAACACAGGCATGCTGCAAAGGTATTGACATGTCTGGAAAATAAGTTAGTATGTGGGTCACAAGGGCAATGGCAGAGAGCAAAGTCAAACGTAACTAGTACCTAGTAACCCTTTTGCTTCTCAAAGGCCCTTATAGCAAGGAGGAAAATTGTAGAGTGGACACCAGCAGTATCTCTGGCTGAAGTTGTTTTGGGTGGTAACACTTTCAGTAAAGTTTACTTGAGATGGAAGAATATAGTTCATGATGCTGCATGGAGTTAGTCAATTCGAATACCTTAATAGTTGAAATTAAAATGCCTAAGCATGTAAGAATGCATATATCAGGCAATAGTTTTAGAAGGACAGATGTGAAAATTCAAGGGTGGTTGTGAATTCAGGTATAGATCTAAGATGCTCATAGACAGAACATAAGAGCTTCAGTGAGCCACCCACCTCTTGCAGCTGTATTCTGGCATTACAGATAGAAAATGTTTGCCCAGAGAAGGGAAGGCTACTGCATTTCAAATGA